CTTAGAGAGACAGAGAGGAAGAAAGTGAGAAGGTATGCCACCTGGTTCAGGATTCGAACTACAGTCAACCATATGGGAGTCCAGCACCTTAACCACCATGCCACCTGCTGGAGCTCAGAATTTGTTGTGTGTATGTGTGTTTTTTTGTAAGAAAGTCTATGATATGAGTAAGATTTTCATTTTTATGTAGACTGAGCTCACAGACTAAAAACATAGATAGAGAATTTATTCCCATATGTATGTAGCTTTAATTCATGTGTCCACATCGATGGGTAGTATGACATTAGTCTCTGCTGACATAAGATAGAGGTGCAAAATAAAAGTGAACAAAATGTTTGTCTTTAAGATTACACCGGGGCCAGTGGCATAGCGGTTAAAGTGGCTGGATCCTGCATGGCCTACTACAGAGTTCAAGTCCCAGACCTGGCAGTTTTAAAAAAACATGCCAGGCTCATGTGTGTATGTGCCTGGGCCCAAAATCCCAAGAAATTCTTTAGAAGTGACTTCTTACTTTCCCACTCTGTCTCTTTCTCTGTTTCTCCAGTAACCACATGCATCTTATAGCAAATTTTTAAAAAGAAAAAGATGACACTGAATCTCCTAAATGTGGAAAATCTGTTACGTCCTGAAAAGAAGCAAAATCCTAACTAAATAGCTAACTAAAAATTATACCACCTGTGTCCTAAATTAATCTCGAACATAATCCAAGTTTCTCTACATGTTCATGGTTGTTCATAGACTAGAGAGTAATTGGGTTAACTTTGCTTTCATTCTTATCATTCTTGTATTTTAAGAAAGCCGTGGTTACTGCGACGTGTAACCATCTTACATAAACCATCAACAAGTATGTGTTGATTTAAAAAAAAAAAAACTTACAGAGACTTTTTGTTTCATGTGTGATCCCCTGTCCCCAGAGCTGCCTGCCTCTTCCTTCTATATTGTATTATTTTCAAAAAGGGCCCTGAGCTGTTATGTTCTGGGCAGTATATTAGAGACCTGTATTAGGTTATAGTAATTCATCCTCTCAGTAATGCTTTCTATAAGTTCAGGA